GGGAGAAAGATGAGGCTTTCTGCTCCTGTAAAGATTTACAGCCTTGGAAACCCTATACAGGGTTGCTATGGGTCGGAACTGACTCGACGGCACTTAACAACAACAAAATTGTTCAAGCACAGTGCCTGGCATATGATATGTACTCACCATTCCTAAGGTTTCCACAAAGTGACTGCAACATGACTTCAAACATTTTAACAATTGTGAGGATGTTAAAATTCATCATATTCATCAGAATCATAGGGTCCCTAGGGCACCATATTACTCGGAATCAATCTGACAGTACCTAACAACAATAAAAACACATGGATACCATCATTAGTACAATTTGGAAGTGACTTTTGTGAATTTGTTTATAGCCTCGGAAACCCTGTACAGGGTCGTTATGAGTCGGAACCGACTCCACGACACATAACCACCACCACCACCACCCAGAATTTGTATGCAAGGTATTTTTGGCAATATGTGACGCTAACTGTTAATCACCTTTTCTCATCTTGCTTCACTGGTCCATATAACGTCTCTAAGATTCTCTTCATACCATTTTTGTGCTATATTATACACCTTTTTGTTGTTTCCCTTTTCCTAGTATATATTGAAAATTATTGTCTAGGTTGTAACGCTTTGAAATTGTACTCTTAGGTTCTGATGGCCAACTTGATATATATGTATATTAAATGCATTTATTATTATTTCACATTATTATATTTTTGTTATTGCTGTTAAGTGCTATTGAGTTGGTTCCCACTCATAGCAACCCTGTATAGAGTTTCCAAGGAGCGAATGGTGGGTTTGAACTGACCTGTGGATGCCAGTCCAGAACTTATCCTATGATCATTAATTACTCCTTATAAAGTATTGAGCTTCTAAAAACAACAACATCATTGTATTAAGTCTATATGTAGTCATTTTAAGAGATTAAAACTAAATGATAAATAACTAATAAGCATTTATGTAAAAATTTATCTATTTTAAAGACATTTCCAAATATTATTTTTATTTTATCTTATATATTTTCCTTTGTGGGGATCAGGAAGACCATTTTCCCAGGTATCACAAAGACTTTTGACTTTAATTCTAAATGTGGGTTGTTGTCATTGTTGTTGTTAAGTGCCATTGAGTCAATTCTGACACTTAACGACCCTTTTATAGGGCTTCCAAGGAGCAGGTGGTGAGTTTCAACCACCGACCTTATAGTTCAAGTGAACCTTGTGATCCAAGACCTCTTTATCCCACAGGACAAAAATCATAGAAACAAAATGACAAGATTTAGATGTTTTCCGTTCAATTTGTGTCCTGTTATTAGATTCTACTACATGTTTTTCACTGTAATTTTTTTTTTTTTTTTTTTATGAATCCTGTGATAAATTATCTTTTGACTGGCCCAGTTATTTGATTGTATTTTTGGCATTAAAGAGAATTACATTAAGTGTAATTTAAAGTAAACCATAATTTTGTTTAAAGGACTGTCTTTGGCAGTCCTTTGTGTAATTGTATACTGTTGTTAAGTGTCATTGAGTTGGTTCCAACTCATAGTAATCCTATATAGGGTTTCCGAGGAGCAGCAGATAATTTTGAACTGCCAACCTTGTGGTTCACAGTCAAGTGTTGATCCTACAGTACTACACCAAGATAGCATGTTAAGTACCTCAAAATGTAGAAGTATGCAAGAAGGACCTCTCCTGAACTCTTAGTGGCCCTGCAGTTGACACAAAATTTTCTGTAAATGTATTTATAACCTTTAGTCCAAAAAGCAAAAACATCTGTTTTATTATTTTATTTTTATGTCCTTTGTTTCACTCTGCAAGAAACTAGTTTAGTGAGGATACTTGAGAATGACCACAAAGCTTTGTGATTTTTTTGGTGGGTTCTGCTGACAATTTTTTTTTAATTTATCATAACCATAAAGAAACCTTTATTAAACATCTAAGTAGATATTCATAGCATTGTTCCCTTTAATATATTTATGTGTATAATGTTGAGTTTTTACTCTTAGAGGTTCTGTTGAATAGAAGTCTCACTTTACAAGTCTTGAGGTCCTGGATAAATGTATACTAAGTAGGGTGTCTGCTCCTTTTATCTACAAACAAGACTCCAGTGATGGTGGTTGTATGCTGTGGAGTTGGTTCCAACTCATAGGGACCCTGTATAGGATTTCTGAGGCTGTAATCTTTACAGGAACAGAAAGTTGCATCTTTCTCCCATGGAGCTGCTGATAGTTTCAAACTGCTGACCTTGAGGTTAGCAGCCTGATTCATAAACGTTACACTATCAGAACTCCTTTAGACTCCAGTAGTATATATTAAAATAAAAGTTTACTGTTTTCAATGTTGATGTCATTTACTCTTGATGATTCTAAAAAATTATACAGCTTGTCATAAATATCCTAAATACTTTAGTATCAGAAATAATTTTGTATTCTTCATTTAAAACATTCTTTCAGTTTCTTAGTTTTCAAGCAAGCACATTATAGATGTTTCACTTCAATAAAGTTGAACAGAAGGAAACTAATTCTTTTGTTTGACTGTTCATAAAACCTATAGAACTTAAAGGAGTTTAACAGGTGTTTTCCTTGACAGAAAAAGCATGATTCGTATACTGTGACAATGCTGAACTGGCTTTCATCCTTGGGAAGTAAATCCCTTCCAAGGTTCTCATTCCATACAATGTAGAAATGATTTATGAGGCATGTACCGTTTTATTGCCTGAATTATTTCTTAATGTTTATTATTACAGAACCATTTGCTCTGAAATGTCACCCATTCTTTGATTCAAAACAAACAGTACTCACCAACATAAAAACACACCAGTGTATAGTCATTATTTAAATAGAAATATAACAATTCCACAATGTCTCAGAGACAACAGATAATTTCAGCTAACATGAAGAAACAAAACAGAGTGGATCAAACGAGAAATCAAATACTGAGTCAGAAAATATAATACCAGGAATGCTATTGGAACTACTTGATAAAGAATTTGGAAGTAGAACTGAATCAATGGAAGGTCAAATTGGTGACCTGGAAGACAAGCCTCTTAATATTTATCTGCTTTAGGACCAATCAGAAAAAAGAACTAAAAAATCTGAAGAAAGCATGTATGACACCATCAAGAGGAATAATTTACATGTGATCTGAATTCCAGAACAGGAAGAGACAAAGCAAAAAAACAAACATAGAAAATTGTCGAAGAGTATGTTGGAGGAAAACTTTTCTAACAACATGAAAAATGAGAAGATATGTATTAAAGAAGATGAACAAACTCCCAATGGGATACATATCAGAAAATATCACCAAGACATATATAGTCAAACACTCCAAAAGCAAAGACAAGGAAAGAATCTTGAGAGCAACTTGGCAAAAACACAAATTTACTTACCTAGGAGAAATAATTATACTGAGCTAAGACAATGAGATGATATATACAGAATTCTGAAAGTAAAAAGATGCCACCCAAGAATTATATATCCAAATAAATTGGCCCTCAAATATGATGGTGAATTTAAGACACTTTCATATAAACGGAAATGCAAAGAATTTGTAAAAACGAAACCTATTTTACCAAAGTACTAAAGAGAGTTCTTTGGACATAGAGCCAAAAACAGGAGACAACAACCTGAGATTAACATTCATGACAATATCACCCAGAACTCAGATATGTTTGGTTGTTAATGCTGAGTTGGTTCTAACTCATAGTTACCCAGTATAGGGTTTCCCAGGCTGTAACTCTTTATTATAGCAGAAAGTCTTACCTTCCTCCCATGGAACAACTGGTGGGTTTGAACTGCTGACCTGTGGTTGTAGTCCAGTGTTTATCCTTCCATGCCACCAACACTCCAATCCAGATATACAACAGATCTACAAGACTAAACATAGGAAATCAGAGTTATCAGTTTGCAACAACAACAACAAAAAAAACCCCACAAAGTTAAGAAGAGGAAATAATGTAGTTACAGACTTCTAAATGAAGAGGAAATCAAGTAGATTTCAAGAAAAATAAATAAAAGCCTAACTGTAACCCTGAAACTCAACCAAACCCTTTTCCTAGCCCTAGTCCAACTCCTACCCCTAGTTCTAGCCATAACCTTGGTGGTGGTGGTGATGTGCCGTGGAATTGGTTCCAACTCATAATGACCCTTTACAGGAGCAGAAATCTTTACAGGAACAGGAAGCCTCATCTTTCTCCCACAGAACAGCTGGTCATTTTCAAACTGCTGACTCTGAGGTTAGCAGCCCGATTCGTAACCACTACGCTACCAGCCATAACCCTAACACTACATAAAGCCCTAGGCCTAGCCTAGGCCTAACCATAGTCCTAACCCTAACTCCCTACTCCTACCCACCCACCCCCACAAAAAACAAGGAGCCTTTCCTTTCTTTAGATTCTGAAGTTTGTTGTTGTTAGGTGCCATCGAGTCGGTACCGACCCATAGCAACCTTATGCACAGCAGAAAGAAACATTGCCTGATCCTGGGCCAACCTCACTACCATTGCCATGCTTGAGTCCATCGATGCTGCCACTTAGCCAGTCCATCTCGTTGGGGGTCTTCCTCTTTTTTTCTGACCCTCCACCTTACCAAACATGATATCCTCCTCAAGCAAATGGTCCCTCCTGACTACATGTCCAAAGTACGAGAGACGAAGCTTAATTAAAAACAAATCCTCTCTGTGTTTCTCCTTCAAATCCTTTTATACCTTGGCCTTTCTTCATATCCATTAAATAATGTTCCTTCTCCTGCCCTCATTTCATCCTCTCTCTGATTCAGTGATAATTTTATTTGCATTCTCCCTCAGAGCTCTTGTCTCCTTTTAAAGCCTCAGACTCATCTCACCTTCAGATCTTATCTCTGTAAACTTTCTGTGAACCCTGCATCTCCAGTTCTCTGCTAAGATAAATGAACTTGAATGCCTCATCATTACCACAAACTTAAAATGACTAACAAAACTCTTCCCCTTTCCTCCACATCCAACTTTCCTACTTGTTGTTTGCCTACCTATTCAGTTATTAACCTCAGTTATCTTTGTCTTTATCTCTTGAGACAGATAGAAAGACCTGTTGGTCTCTATAATGCAAGTGAATTTTCTGAACTGAAAATCTGATTTTTGTTTTCGTCTTTATAATGTTAGTGGAGTCCTGGTGTAGCACTGTGGGATAATGCATGGACTGCTAGGTTGGTTGCACCACATGATCGGTGGTTCAAATTCACCAGCTGGTCCTCAAAAACCATATACAGCGTTGCTATGAGTTGGAACTGACTCAGTGGCATTTAATAATGACAACAATGTTAGAACCTGGTGCTGCTATAATAAAAATACTACATATGAGTGGCTTTAAAGAATAGGAATTTACCTTCTCATAGTTCAGTAGGCTAGAAGTTTGAATGCAGGATGTGGCTGAAGGTTCCTCTTCATCTATTTTAATTTCTAGTATAGACAGGCATGTCTCTCATACGTCAGACATATTATCAGGAGGGACCAGTCCCTGGAGAAGGACATCATGCGTGATAAAGTGGAGGGTCAGCAAAAAGACAAAGACCCCCAACGAGATAGATTGGCACAGTGGCAGCAGCAGTGGGCTCAAAATTGATAATGATTGTGAGGATGGCACAGGACCAGGAAATGTTTCATTCTGTTGTGCATAAAGTTACTATGAGTTGGAACCAACTCAATGGCACCTAACAACAACATAGGCAATCCTTGGAATTCCTGGACTTGTAGATTCATCTGCTTCCAGAGTCATAAGATAGTGTATCTTCCTCCTGTGTCTGCATGTCCTCGTATCAGTGCTTTTTATATAGTTTACTCCTAGTGTTGTGCTATAGGGAAAACACTGGACTGAGAATCACAAGGTTGGGGGTTCAATCCCATCAGCGACTCCTCAGAAACACTGTACAGGGTCACTATGAGTCTGAATCGACTTGAAGGCACATAACATCCACAACAACAGAAATGATTAATTTAGGACAGACTCTATGTTGTTAAGTCCTCATTAACATAACAAAGAACAAACCCAGAGGATTATAGCCACAAGAATTAGGGTTAGGATTTCAATGCATATTTTGTGATGGTCCAAATTCAATCAGTAACATCCTAGAACATAACACACAAAAGGCAATAAAATATTGTTTGTTGAATCAATGTTCAAGACTCATATTTCTTCAAACTTGGAAAAGAACTTTCTAACAGATTTTCCTACGTTCATTGTTTCCTGCCTCGGATATTCTATATCTTGTCAACAGATGGATATTTTAGAAATAGTTTAGCCTCAGGACAGCTCCACATTAGAAAGTCTAAACTTCTTAGTATGAAATTTAAAGTACTTCTTAATTCAGGTTCAAAACTATCTGCTACTTTATTAAATTGATGCAGCAGGTTAATATTTGCAACAGATATATATTTAAGTACTTTAAGATAAAATACCTTGCATTACTATTTTAATATACCCATTGTGAGGCAGAATGGTTCTTTGGTCTTCTCCAAAGCATTTTATATATAAAATACTTCAGTTGTAATTTACAGACACTCCCTGAACTATCTAATTGCTCTGCTTCAAGTGTTCTTTCTCCATCCTCTGCTTATTAAGATTTTACCTACTGAAGTTAATCGTATATTTTGTGCACTATTAAGTCCAATTCATGAAAGGATATAGCTTTGTTGATATTTATTAGCTATGGGTTTTTAATTACAGTCCTTAAACTTTTTTTTTTTTTAAGAGAAAACATTGATTACCTTCTGAAAGAAGAGCAATTAAGATGAGGGGAAATTTTTCCTATTCATACTTTTACATTTATACTTCTATAGTATTATGAATAAAAACTTAAATACTTCTTTTTAGAATTAACTAGTATTGTGAGTATTCTGATGAAATAATATAAAGATTATTTGCTTGCTTTAAGGGTTTTATTGGTTCTCCTGGAGAAATAGGACAACTGGGACCTGAAGGAGAGAGAGTAAGTCCACTTCCTGCAATTATTATTTTCTAACATATTTATGATTATGATGTACAATAAGAGTCATAATCTCACGATGATGTGGAGAGATGGAGCGGCTGAGGACTCTAGATCCAAGAAGGGGAGTGGGGCTGTGTGTGCTGGTGTCTGGGAGGCTGGCATGCAAGGTGTACTCTTTGGTTGTTTGAATGGTTATATATTCCTGAGGGGATTGGAGGGATTGGAAGCAAATGCTGTTGAATGGTGATGTACAGAAGGGATTGAAATCATTGCAATGAAACAAAATACAAATAGAATGAATGTAAAGCTGATGCTCTCCCATGTAACTATCACTCAATTCACAATAAAAACTTTTTTTAAAAAGAGTCATAATCTCAGATGTAAAAGGAGGCAAACAGTTGATGATATGACTGAAACAGGCTAAGTATAAGAAACAACAAATGCCAGAAATAAAATCCCTTGGATGTTACTGAATTTTGTTAGAGAGGAGTTGTTTTTGTTGTAAAGTGCCATCGAAGAACGGCCCATAGAGACCCTATATAGGGTTTCCGAGGAACTTCTGGTGAGCTTGAACTGCCAACCTCGCAGTTCAAACGGTTTTGCAGTCTGGCGCATCGACCCATAGTGCCACTCTCCTGTTCTCCTAGAGAGCAGTAATGTAATGCAAATACGTATGGTTAGATGTTATATTTTAATGAAATTTGAAAAAATATATAAATTAAAAAATTAAAATGTCAACTCACAAAATTTTATTTTGTAACTTATTACTACTCTTTAAGCGTAAACTCTTTTGTCTCATGGTCTTATGAACAGGGCCTGTATTTTGCGATGAATATGCAGTAAAGAATTTAGCCTTAGAGAATATGCTTTTTGCTTAATTTAATAATGGAAAATGCCTATTCATAAATATAGGTATTTATGAATAAAGATGGAATATTTGAAAAATAGTATATTGTACTTTTAAAGACTTAACAAAGGTATTTATAGAGTTCTGACATACCAACTTTATATCTGGTTTTCTGTGCCATATGCAGCTCAGTGATATCTAGTTGTATATCTTTATTTGAAAAAAAAGATGTAATTGAATAAAGTTACTGCATTGTCATAAGGTTTGAAATTGGAAAATCGTACTTAGAATTTATACTTTAACTCTACCATTATATGAATGTATTGGGGCCCAAATTTTTATTTCTGAAATTTTATTTTTGCAAATGAAAGTAAACCAGATTATCTTTGCTAAATGAGTTTTTCAAATATGTAGCTCTAAGTATGAGTAAATTAAATAAATCTGTGCATGTGTGATTACTTGTTAATGATCCTTCAGAGAAAAAATTTTCAAAGATGATAAGTATGCTATAATAACAATAAAAAAATCAAGCTACTTAGGTGAGATGAAGTACAGACTTTCCCTTGATGTACAGAACAAGTAATTTTTCAACAGTAAAAAGCATCTTCAACATGATACTACAATTAACCCACTTAACCTTTAAATCACTTTGCAAATTAGTAGATCCAGTTTGTCAAGACTTGAACTACTATTTTTATTTTTAAAAAGTTTAATGTGAATAGGTGTCCTGGTGTGGTGCTGCAGGATAATGCACTGGACTGCAAGGTTGTTTGAACTGCAAGGTCAGTGGTTCAAACTCGCCAGCTGCTCCTCAGAAACCCTATACAGAGCCGCTATGAGTCGGACAACAGTAACAATGTGAATTGAGTGAAGGTTATAGATAAGATCACAAGTTTTACATTCAACAAGTCATATGTTTTGTTTCATCTCAATGGTTGCAATCACTTCCATGAAACAACAGTTATCCTGCTTTCTCACTGTGATTCCTATTTGCATAATACCCACATTCCCATCCCTTCTCAACTTTGTCCTTAGGAAAATGTTTCCCTTTTGATTTTGAATTACCATTCCACGATGACCATAACTTGCTAGTGTTGTTGTCATCCCACCCCACCCCCATGCCCAACCTGTAAACCTATCTACTGCTTGGCTGAAAACTGGGCCATGAGGATGAGTTCCTTTTTAGACCTGAATGGTGGTCAAGGGCCATAGTCTTAGGTTCTTACAGTCTTTTTTTTTTTATTTTGCCCTGTAAACCTGAGCCCATTGCTGTGCAAATACATCTCATTGGAGGAGGTCTTCCTCTTTTTTTTTCCGACCATCCACTTTACCAAACATGATATTCTTCTCCAGGGACTGGTCCCTCCTGATAATATGCCCAAATTATGTCAAACAAAATTTGGTCACTCTGGCTTCCAAGGAGCATTTTGACTGGACTTCTTCCAACTCAGATTGCTTTTTTCTTTTAGCAGTCCATGGTACATTTAATATTCTCCTCCAACACCCTAACTCAAATACATCAATTCTTCTATAGTCTTCCTTATTCACTGTCCAAGTTTCACATACATTTGAAGCTACTGAAAACACCATGGCTTGGGTCAAGCACACCTTAGCCCTCAAACTAACATCTTTAAAGAGGTCTTGTTTAGCAGATTTGCTTAATGCAATACATCATTTGATTTCTTAACTGCTGCTTCCCTATGTGTTGATCCGATTGAAATGGAATTTTTGACAACTTCAATCTTTTCTCCATTTATATTGGTCCAGTGATGAGGACTTTTGTTTTCTTAACAATGAGGTGCAACCCATACCAGAAACTGTGGTTTTTGATCTTCATCAGTAAGTATTTTAAGTCCAGAATGCTTTCACTATCATCTGCATATCACAGATTGTTCATGAGTCTTCCTCCAATCTTGATGTCACATCTTTCTTCATCTAATCTAGCTTCTCAGATGACTTGCTCAGCATACAGATTTAGCAAGTATGGTGAAGGAATACAACCCTGGTAGCACGATTTTCCTAAATTTAAACCATTTGGTGTGCCCTTGTTCTGTGTGAACAACTAATTGCCTCTTGATCTATGTACAGGTTCCTCATGAGCACAACTAAGTGTTCCAGAATACTCGTTTTCTGCAATGTTGTCCATAGCTTGTCATGATTCACACAATCGAAAGCCTTTGTGTAGTCAATAAATCACAGATAAACATATTTCTAATATTCTTTGCTTTCAGCCAAGATTTGTCTGACGTCAGCAATGATGTCCCTCCTTCCAAGTCTTCTTCTGAATCCAGCTTGAACCTTTGATGATATGGAGCTTTCCAGAGTTTCTTTCCACAGATGTAGTCCATTTGATTTCTGTGTATTACATCTGTGTATTACATTCTGTGTATTACATCTGGTCCATGTGTATAGTCATCTTTTATGTTGTTTTAAAAAGGCATTTACAATGAACAAGTCATTGGTCTTGCAAAATTCTATCATGCTATCTCCAGCATCATTTCTATCACCAAGGCCATATTTTCCAACTACTGATCCTTCCTCTTTGTTTCCAACCTTTGCATTTCAATCACCAGTAATTAACAATACATCTTGATTGCATGTTTAATCAATTTTAGACTGAAGAAGTTGGTAGTGTTCTTCAATTTCATCATCACTGGCTTTAATGGTTGGTGTGTAAATTTGAATAATAGAGGTGTTAACTGGTTTTCTTGCAGTTATATGGATGGTATCCTACAACAGATAGCATTGTACTTCAAGACACATATTAGTATGTTCTTTTTAATGATGAATGCAATGCCATTCCTCTTCAGTTTGTCATTCCCAGCATAGTAAACCATGTGATTTTCAGATTCAAAATGGTCAATACCAGTCCATTTCAGCTCAGTAATGCCTAGGATATTGATGTTTATGTATTCCATTTCACTTAGGACAATTCCCCATTTTCCTAGATTTCATACTTCATACAGTCCATGTTCTGATTATTAATGGATGTTTACAGCTCTTTTCTTCATTTTGAGTTGTGCCCCATCAGCAAATGAAGGTCCTGAAGGCTTTACTCCATTTGTGTCATCACAATCAACTCTACTTTGAAGAGGCAGCTCTTCCCCAGTCGTATTTTGAGTGTCTTCCAACCTGAGGGGCTTATCTTTTGGCAGTATGTCTGACAGTATTCTGGTGCTCTTCATCATGTTTCAATTTTCAATATTCTGAGGTTGACAGTGTTCCACTGTTATTCATAAGGTTTCAGTCACTCAATATTCGGAAGGAGTGCATCTCTCCTTCTTAGCCTATCTTCATTTGGAAGCTCAGCTGATACCTCTCTACCTTGGATGACCCTGCTGGTATTGAAAATATTAGTGGCATAAGTTCCAGAATCACAGCTACATTCAAGTTACTGCAGTACGACAAACTGACAAATAACTGGTGAATGGGAACTTTATATAATAGAAACTAGCAGTTTTTATAAACAATGGGTTATTTATTTTCCCTTAAACTTCAGCACCTTCACTAAATCTAAGCAGGAAACTAAAGGTAGTGCAGACAAAACTACATAAGCATTTTTATTTTGTGTTTTTGTTAAGTGCTATTGATTTGAATCTAAATCACAGAAACATACAGGGTTTCCAAGGCTGTAAAATCTTTATGAGAGCACAAAGCCTTACTTTTTTCCCATGGAACAACTGGTGGGCTGGAACTACTGACCTTGACATTAGTAGTCCAGTGTTTATACTACAGAGCCACTGTGCTCCTTTTATTTTGTATGATATTAAATTCCAAGTGAAAATAAATGCAAATTTTCAACTAGTGATATATTCTGACTTATCTGATATGTAATATCAATCCCAAGCTATATGGTTTTTGCAGTTTTCTTACTCTCTAATGTTTGTGTTGTTGTTGTTGTTAAGTGCCATTGAGTTGGTTCTGACTCATAGTGACCCTGTATAAGGTTTCAGGGGAGTGGTTCATGGGTTTGAACAGCCAGACTTCGGTTAACAGTTCAAGGAGCAACTGGTGAATTTGAACTGCTGACCCTGTAGTCAGCAGACCAGCACTTATCCTACTATACCACATCAAGACTCCAGTATAAGGCTTATAAGTGATTATAATCTTAAAGTGATTATGTCAATTAGTAGGCTTTGGACTTCAAAAAACAGAAAACTCCAACTCAAGCTGGCTTAAAAATAAGAAAATTTCTTACAATGATGTGCATAATAGCAAAACAATTATTGAATGAATGGCTATATATGAGGCTCAATAGAGTGCTGGTGGCCCTGTAGGACCTACTAAACACAGGATCAACAGTTCAAACCCTAAGGCTTTTTGCTCCCGTAAAGGTTTACATTCACTGAAATCCCATACAGGGTCGCTGTGAGTCAGAACCAACTCATTGACACCCAACCACAATATATCAAAGTACTTTATATGGAGCAGCTAATGTTCACAAAACACAATGAGGTAGGTGCTGTCTGAGGACAATGCATTCTTGAATTAAGTGATATCATCATCTTTGTTTCTGCGTTACCTTTCTCAATGTGCAATGGAATACTGTACAATGATGAATCTGTAGAACACCTCACAATGTGGATGAATCCGGAGCACATCATGCTGAGTGAAGCAAGTTAACCACAAAAAGACTTTTATTAAGGCTAGTTTCCTGTGTGATTGCAAGATTGCTAATGCAAGGTCTTAATGTCTCTTTGTTTATGTCCAGAGAGATAGAGATAGAGAGAGGTAGTTATTGTCCCTTAGGTATGAAAAAATGATACTTTCCTTTTGTCTGGTTGTGCCAACTTTGGTCATGTGTTTTAGACTGCTGTAACCAGGGGAATGTCAGGATACCATTTTGAAGTGCAGATAAAGTGAATTCCTGAATAAAATCAGGATTTTCTTATGAAAAGGAAAAGGAGGGGATCACAGATTTCAACTTCAGTCAAATCACTATGTTGAAGCTTTTTCAAATGTAGCACCAGTTTATAGTACTATTTATTTCCATTTTTAATGTACTTCATTGATTGATATTTGAAAGAAAAAGATCTGTAATATCTAATTCATTCATTCATTCAAATATTTCCTTTGGATTTTTCTATATTCTAGGGGATTCCTGGGATGCGTGGAAAGAAAGGTCTTAAAGGAAGACAGGTAACTTTGATTTGTGTTTCTTGAGCCTTCAGTTTATACTATTATCATCAAATTATGTGTTTATTTCTTACCTATTAAAATATGAACTTATTTTTTGTTGTAGTTTTCATACACAATCTATCTTTTAAAGTATTTCATTTTTGCAACTTTAATAGTCTTATCAAATAATTACCTCGAATATAAAAGGAAAATTTAGAATTAAAAAATAACCTAATCTAATATTTCTAACCCATTTAATATATTAGTGGAAGAAATCCTTATTCACATGCCAAGGAGATAAAATGGAATATATGTAAATCTTTCTAGCTGAAGGAAACTGGTCCTCAACAAAGGGTTGAAGTCTATTAAATGGGGACAAGATAGCCTTTTTAACAGATATTGCTGGCAAAACTGGATATTTGCTTGCAGAAAAATGAATGGGGAGCCATACCTCACATCATAGATTAAAGTAGATCAAAGACCTAAATTTAAATCTAAAACTATATAGTTCATGGAAGAAAAGTAAGGACAAAGTTAAGAACCCTTCTCTATGGCATAAGAAGAATATCAGAAATATCTAAAAATATACAAATAGCAGAAGATAAACTAGATAACTGGGACCTCCTAAATATTAAATAATTTTGCTCATCAAAAGATTTTACCAATACAGCAAAAAGAGAACCTTAACACTTAGAAGTATTTTAAACTTTACAGAAAGCTCAAATACCTCAACAACAAAAAGACAATAGAATTTTTAAAAATGGGCAAGGACATGAACATGTATTTCAGCAAAGAATATATTCAAGCAGCAAATAAATATATGAAGAGATATTCACAATCATTAGCCATTAGAGATACGCAAATCAAAACTACATTGAGATACCATCTCATCCCAACAGTTATGGCACTGATCAAGAAAACAGAGAAAATAAATGCTGGCAAGGTTGTGGGAAAATTGGAACTCTTATAGACTGCTGGTGAGACTACTAAATGGTACAACCATAATGGAAAACTATATGATGCTTCCTTAAAAAAAAAAAAAAAAACACGCTAGAAATAGAAATGCCACACAATCCAGCAATTGTATCCCAGCTGCTAGAGTTCCTTATCCTAGGTATGCAAGTACTCTAAAGAAGTTAGAGCTGTGATACAAGTAGACGTATGCATGAATTCATGTAATCATTTTTCTGAATAGCAATAAGATGGAAACAACCTAAGGTATGCATCAATGGATGAATGGATAAACAAATTATGAGATATGTGTACAATGAAATACTACACAATGGTAAAAAATAATGATGAATCCATAGACTATCTTACAACATGGATGAATCTGGAGGACATGATGCTAAGTGACACAAGTCAATCACAAAGAGGCAAACATTGTGTGACCACTATTATAAAATGTCAAGGATAAGTTTATACACAGAAAGAAACATTCTTGGGTGGCTACCAGAAATGGAGGGGGAGGAAGGGAGAATCACTAACTAGATAATTGGTGTTGTTATTGTTGTTTAGTGCCATGGAGTCAGTTCTGACTCATAGCAACCCTGTGTAGGGTTTCCAAGGAGCAGCTAGTAAGTTTGAACTGCAGACCTTGGGGTTCAAAATGATCTTTTGGTCCAGTGTTAATCCTACAGTGCCACACCAAAACTCCAACTAGATAGTTGTTGTTGTTAAGTTCCATCAAGTTACTTCCAACTCATAGCAACCCTGTATAGGGCTTCTGAGGAGCATCTAGTGGGTTTGAACCACCAGCTTTGAGATTCAAATTGACCTTGTGGTCCAGTGATTAGTGGACATACATTAATTCTGGTGAAGTCAAAGGTAATGCATGTTAAGGGGGAACTCAGAATTATATGAAAAAGAATAGGGTATCAGGATTAAAGGAAGACTCACTAACATCCTACAGCATGCAGATGATACAGCCTTGCTTGCTGAAAGCAAAGAAAACTTAAAATACTTATTGTGAATATCAAAGACCATAGACCATAGCCTTCAGTATGAGTTGCACTTCAGTGTAAAGATAACAAAAATCCTTACCACTGGACCAATAAAGAATACCATGATAAATGGAGAAAAGATTGAAGTTGTCAAAGACTTCATGTTGCTTGGATCCATTATTAGCACTCAGGAAGCAGCAGTTAAGAAATAAAATGACATATTGCATTATGCAAGTCTGCAGTATGTCACTTTGATAACTAATGAATATCTGACCAAGTCATGGCATTTTCAGTAACCTCACATGTGTGTTAAAGATGGACAATGAATACAGAAGTGCAAAGAAGAATTGATACATTTGATGCATTATAGTGTTAAAGAAGAATATTAAAAGTACTATGGAATGCCAGAAGAACAAACCAAACCATGTTGGGAGAATTACAGCCAAAATGTTTTTTAGAAACCAGGATGGCGAGACTTCATCTCTCATACTTAGGACATATTATAAGGAGGGACCAGTACCTGGAAAAGGACGTCATGCATGATAAGGTGGAGGGTCAGCAAAAATGAGCAAGACTCCCAACGAGGTAGACTGGCACAGCATCAACAGCAGTTGACTTAAGTGTAACAATTGTGAGGATGGCACAGAACCGAACAGTGTTTCATTCTGTTGTGTATAGGGTCACCATGAGTCAGAACCGACTTAACTGTAACTTACAATAAAAACAGCATAATGTGACCAAAGCAAAGGAAGACATTGAGAAGTATGCAAGAATAAAGGATAGCTGTGGTAAATGCTGGAGTACTGGTGGGGCTCTGTGGGTTAATGTGCTGAATTACAAAGTCGGCCTTCTGCCTGAAGGCATTTCAGGTTTATTCTGGTGAATCCAGCAATATCACTGCTCTTTCTTTTGCTCTGAATCTTGCATCTGTTGCTGCTGCTCCTCTGCTCCTCTTCTGGTATCACAGCTTCCTTTTCAGGGACAAGGAAGTTTAATGAACAGTGATCTCAGGGTCCAAAGGATGTGCTCCACTCTGGGCTCTTCTCTCTTATAGTAAGTAATAGTAAGATCCCCCTTCCTACTTCTGAGATGGCTCATTTTAAACACACGTTAGATTCCAAGTTTTTGCAATTACAATCGACCTTGCTAACAGTCATTCAAAACTGAATCATGTCATCCTTTCAGCATCTCCTTCTACCTTTTCTTATGCAGACGCATCAGAAAATTAAAAAAAAAAAAGGTTGTTTGGTGGGTGTTAAAAGCACTAGAGCTAGAAGAATCATCTTAAATAACTCACTGCATTTGCAGGTACTTTGTTGTTAAGTGCTGTCGAATTGGTTCCAATTCAACAAACCTGAATAAGTTTTCTGAGGCTGTAACTCTTTTGGGACCCAAATGCCTCATCTTTCTCCCATTGAATGACTGAGGGGTTGGAACTGCTGACCTTGTGGTTTGCAATCTAGTGTTTATCTTACAGAGTCACCACACAGGTCCTAATCACTATAATTACTTTTAAAGACCTCACGTAATTGCTATTATATAAGAGTCCTTGTGTGGCACTGCAGGATAAGGAGTTGACTGCAGTGTCAGTTTAGACCACAAGGTTGGCAGTTCAAATCCACCAACCACTCCTCAGAAACCCTATACAGGGTCTCTATGAATCAGAACCAACTCAACAGCACCTAACAGCAATGGAGTCCTGGTGTGGTGCTGTGGGTTAATGCACCAGACTGCAAAGCCTTTGAACTGCAAGTTTGGCAATTCAAGCTCACCAGCTGCACCTTGGAACCCTATACAGGGTCACTATGGGTCGGAACCGACTCAATGGCACTTAACAACACCAACAACAACACGAGCTGTAGGTGCCTTCAATAAAAATAAACTTTGAAGCTTGTAGCCCAGACACTATTTAATCCAGCCTTTTGCTCTCTCTCTTAAGAGATTGGCATTTGGCTCAAGTTCATTCTACAGAAATGTGGTGGTAGCCATTCTTTATAAGTCAGACCAAACCACAACACAACACAGCCGTCAGGTCAATTCTGACTCATAGTGACCCTGTAAATCTTTGTGGGAGCAAAAGGTCTTATCTTTCTTCCCCAGAGCAGCTGATGGGTTTGAACTGCTGACCTTGTGGTTAGCTGTCCAATGCTTATCCTACAGCACCACAGGGCTCCTTCTTTATAGGTTGTACTCTTTGAAACACCGCAGACCTACTGTTTTACTTTATGTGCCATATTGTCTTACTTTGAGAAGCTTCTTGGAACACATCTTATTAGCTAAGTTCATTAAAAGCATAACACCCATCAGGTAATTTGTAATACAAATCAATGCTATTTTTTTTTTAATTAGTGAGAGAAAATTCATGTGTTTGGTATTATGTTTATTAAATTGATTATGCTTAACTAATTCCAAGCAGGTTTTTTTTTAGTGCAAATTTCCAAACTTCATTCAATAGTGCTACAGTCAGGAAATTCTATAGTTGATTTAATAAGCATTTTACAAGAATCTCAGATTGATTTAATCAGTAGTCCCTCTTTAAAAAAAAACAAAAAAAAAACAACTAAATTGACTATGTTAATTTATAGAATTCCACAGGCCAAGGACCTAAATAACTTATGACGAAACTGACTTGGTACAAATTAACCATGAACGTGGAATTAGAAATGAGATTTACTCTCAATTGTTAAGTGCCATAAAATTGGTTCCAACTCATAACAACCCTGTATAGGGATTCTTAAGCTTTTAAAATCTTCACCAGAGCAGAGAGCCTCATCTTTCCCCTGAGGAATGGCTGGTGTTCTCAAACTGCAGATCTTGTGGTTTTCACACAGTCTGGTGCTTATCGTATGAAGCCACCATGCTCCTTTACATGCAGTACCACCTATAAGACAGTTTTCAAAATATCAAGCATTTTCAAGTTTTTACAATTCAAGAGGAATAACTTACAAATCATCAAATAATATTACATTACCCTAAAGTTTGACAAAGAGCAAAACTATGCTCAGTTTCCCCCTAAGAAAACAAAAATAGTACTTCCTTTAGAGCAGTGGACAAAATAACACCCTAACTATAGATATG